TCTACAGCCATAAACTGAGACAGTTTTTGCTGTTAAACAGTGTCAAAGCCAATAGAAAAACTTCTTAATATTATTGTGGACCTTAGATTATAATTCAAAATAGCAATACATGGGTTTTACACAGTCGACTGTTAGCAAGTGAGACACTCGCACAGTCTACAGCCATAAACTGAGACAGTTTTTGCTGTTAAACAGTGTCAAAGCCAATAGAAAAACTTCTTAATATTATTGTGGACCTTAGATTATAATTCAAAATAGCAATACATGGGTTTTACACAGTCGACTGTTAGCAAGTGAGACACTCGCACAGTCTACAGCCATAAACTGAGACAGTTTTTGCTGTTAAACAGTGTCAAAGCCAATAGAAAAACTTCTTAATATTATTGTGGACCTTAGATTATAATTCAAAATAGCAATACATGGGTTTTACACAGTCGACTGTTAGCAAGTGAGACACTCGCACAGTCTACAGCCATAAACTGAGACAGTTTTTGCTGTTAAACAGTGTCAAAGCCAATAGAAAAACTTCTTAATATTATTGTGGACCTTAGATTATAATTCAAAATAGCAATACATGGGTTTTACACAGTCGACTGTTAGCAAGTGAGACACTCGCACAATCTACAGCCATAAACTGAGACAGTTTTTGCTGCTAAACAGTGTCAAATCCAATAGAAAAATTTATTGATATTAATGCGGTCGTTAGATTACAATTTAAGACAGTAATACAACATTGTGCTTAATTATAAGAATAATACTGTACCACTCTTCCAAGTAAAATCCATGGAAATCATCTTTATCAGTTAAGGTTCTGTAAACCTTACGCAGAGTACGCTATAACATTCATCAGAGTAATAATGGATTAATTATAACCATGACTTATCCCTATTTTATAACTAATTATTGAGCTTGAAGCATCAAACAAAAGTTTCCCGCCATTTCCTTTCATTGTTTAAATAAAGGCAACAAAGGCAACTATAYCGGGCCAGCGAAGAAACGAAGAAATTGATTACATGTGTGTTTTTAAGTATCCCCTTAGTTCTTTGGAATTTATAGACGAGAGACACAACTTTAATCTAAATGATATTTATATTAGGTTACGTCTAATTGACCTTAAGTATCAGTGCATTGTTCCGCCATATTGGATAATCATGCATTAAAAAGACGAATTAGAATCATGCTGTTCTTAAACAAAAGCAACTACAATCGAATGAAGTATGTACTCACCCGACAAATTGAAGGTATCGCCACACGTTCACGTGGACTTGAGCGCTTCTTTTTGCGCCCTGACGACGCCAAAGRCTGCCGATTCTTTAGCTCTTTCAACTCGGCCATGAGGTCCTTCATCATTCTTTGGTTCGCCTCATCCCTTACTTTCAGCTGATCTTGTAGCTTTTTGTTTTGCTCAATGAGATCCTTATTTGATTTCATTGTGTTGTCAAGTAAAGTAGCATGATCATCACTGATAGAAGTCATTTTGGTTTGTACAACAGAAGGACACTAAAAAATTCGTTTGTCTGATTTGACCGCCAACGAGAAATGAATTTGGCGCGCAAATGTTTTGTTTACTAACGGCTATGACGATTATTTAATGGGGGGTAGGGTAGGTTAATATCCTTATCAACAAAACATGTAATTGTATTTATTTTTTGCTAATATTTGAGATGCATATACAAATAGAATAAAATATAGAAATATAAAAAAATACATAAAACGTATTTGTTTAGAAAAACACTTTCCAAAGTCGTTGTAACCAGTCTTTCACCTAACCCTCCCTACTGCCAACCTGGATTTTTGTTGGTTTCTCTGAGGAGTCCTGAGTACTACTGATATCAAAATGGCCGACGCCGATGTTCAAGCCGTTGGGTCCGCTGTTGATACTAATATGATCAGTAAAATCAAAGTGTCAACTGCTAAGAACAAACGAAAGTCCCGGGACAACACATTAGAAGWGTTGAGAAGGAAAAGAATTGCAAGGAAAAAGAAGAAAAAGGCCGAACTACAGAAAATGACGAAGAAAGAAAGAGCTTCATTCTTGAAGAAGAAAATTACTGAACCTCTTCAACACAAAGTAGAAGAAAACGAATTGAAATACCAATCGGAAAAAAAAGTAGCTGCCTTTTACTGGAACAAATGGAAGGAAGACAAAAGACAACATCTAGATGATTTAAATAGGTAAATAATGTCATGTTTTRCATGTTTATAGAAGCCACGTGGGGCTAGCAATCACTTAGCACAGGGAGCCCAATACATAATAGGGAGTCACAGGTTTGACAATTTTCAATACACTATAGGTTTGTSCAGTTGACAAACCCTATTTGGCCAATTGTTTTGAACTGTGAGTCACAGGCAAAMTTGTCCACAAAAGCATACTACTTATCTTATAACTTACTCTACAACTATTTTCTACTTTATTCTCCTTTTTTAGTGTGAGCAAAAGCAGATTCGTTGATAGAAGTAACATTAAGGATGTAATGGATGAAAAACAAAGTGTAATAGGAGAAGGTGTATTTGGAAAAGTTTCAAAAAAGATTTACAGAGGTAATTAAATCTCACAACAGGCTATGGGACACTGYTACATCTGTACAATTATTTCCATAATTGATCAAAACAAAGGTGCAGTTTTCATTTTAGTTATCGTTGACGGGGTTTTTAACACATTTTTTTAGGCATTGAAGTTGCAGCAAAATATTTTAAATCAGGATCYGTTACATGTGTAAAAAGAGAGGCAGCAATAATCAACAACTTTGATCATCCAGGTATTGCAGTGTGCTTCATTTATATTTTTTTAACATTACTTGCTCATTTAAGTGATATGATAAACCAGCATTCAAGATGGTTATGTTTTAGGCTTTTCAAATTGAAAAAAGTATATTATATTCCATTCATTTAAGTGAAAATTAAAGAGTGTTACAAGTGAATGTAACTTATAATGCTTGCTTATAATACAATATGTTTTTATTTTTAAAGTCCATAACAGATGCTGTTTGGCCATGATCCTTTACACAATGTAGTTTGAAAATAAAAATACATTGTCATAWTATAAGCAAAAGATACATCCCTTTATACTATATGAGTGGATTCGATGATGGAAACCGATTGCAAATGGATATTTGAAGTCACMTCATTTTTTATATATATTAAAAATCTAAAATGTCTGCATTGAATGCTGCTGGACCATGTCCCTTTAAGTACAATGTTTGTCGGCTTATATATATTTATTATAACAGCTTACTATCTTAGTTTTTTTTTTCATGTTAGACTATTTGATTTCAATACTTTATTTATGATTTCTTCTTTTCAGTTTTACCTCTTGTATTTGGATTATGCATTGAAAAACTGCCTTATATTCTTGTTATGCAATTCTATGGAATTAGAGGAAGTTGCATCACATTGAGGAAAGCTCTTACATCACATTTAATTGAAGAGCTCACTGGATGGATCCCTGTGTTGTATAAAATTGCAGATGGTCTTGATTATGTGCACAAGAAAGGTTACCTTCATAATGACCTAAAAGGGGACAATATTGTCATTACTAGTCAAAATGATGGCTTGCATCCTATTATTATTGACTTTGGAAAATCAACAAAAACAGAAGATGCTAAACTATATTCACTAACAAAAGAAMAACAACGTGAATATAGAAAGTACCACAAGCACATAGCTCCTGAAGTTGTTGCAGGAATACACTCGCAGTCGTTTGCAAGTGATATTTTTGCATTTGGCATGATTATTACATCTGTGACTAAGTCTTATGAAAGTAGTATTGAAGTTCTCCAGGAAATAGCTAATGAATGTATACACGATGATCCACTACAGCGTCCTTACTTRAGAACCCTACTGCACAGTCTGAACTCTTCATAATTGTGTCTTATCTGACAAATATATATTTTTTTCTATTATATAATGATAGCAATGTTTACTACATTGATTATGATTTGATAGCATTCTATAATTTGTTTTACAGTATAAYAATTCACAATGCCTTCATTTTAAGTGAAAYATATGTACTGTATATTATTTTGTTGCTGCTCTTCATGCCACATAGGCTTAACTGGTAGTGATGATGATATGTATGCACTTGTAAATGATGAGAAGTTCAAACTTTGGAGAAGAACATGAATCTAAGATATTTACATGTAATCATATATAGGGGTAATAATCCTTTTGAATGCTACTTTTTATATCCACATGTATCCCAATAGTATACATTTACTTCATAAAAAAGGGAACTATTAGTATAATTAAAAATGTTACCATTTTCACATACACTGAAGATATGATACTGGTAGTAAACACAGGAATTTCCTGGGTCCCCTATTCTAAATAAAATTGTTCGTTGCTGATTTGATATTCTATACTCATTTTGATAATTACGAATATAACTGTAGGTTGCAATTAATAAGTCTATTACTCCATATACATTTTGTACTTTGATGATAATGATTAGATAGTATACAGTTAAATCTTCAGATCTAAAGGTACAGTGATCAACTTCCTTTGTCCGTCAACTTTAACTTCTGCTCCAGCATACTGGCAATGAATTCTCTGTACAGGCATGAACCGGGAAGGGCCCCCATCTACGTAATCTCTAGCTTTCCATGTTTTTGTTGGATTCCAGAACATATTGGGGTTTTCGTCAGGTTTGTGCCATAAAACACATGCAAACACATGTAATCGGTATTTTCCATTCACTTGTAAGGAATGAGAGAAATAATATTCCACTTCCCCTGCATACAAATCCAACCTTTCCAGATTAAGACCGCCATCGGGGGACACCCAGGAAGCGTAAATTCTTGATGACCTTATGGAACGATAATCTAGCTTTGAGCCATAGTGTTCMTTGCCCATTGTGATAAAAGAGAACTTCTTTATTGTCTCTGCTAACCCCGTCTTTTCAATCAATTCTTCTGGATAAAGTGCTTTGTAAACTCTAAGTAGTATGTCCAAATCGCAGTCTTCAAATGATTTAAACRCATATTGAGAGGGTAGAATGACATCTGAAAGAACTGACCAATTCGCACCTCCGATAGGAAAGATTGTTGACATAGTGCATAATCTTTGTGTGATATTTCCTGCAGGCAAGTCTTCCTGTGATTCTTGCGAGCCAGACATCAGATGCCGAAATTCGTTTTGGTATTCTTGTGGCATTTCCAGACTGTCAAGGTAGCGGGACATCATTAACTTTCTCATCAATTGGAGCTCAAGTGATCTTTTGTTTGTGTTAATGCTACCTATGATGCCATTGTACCTCTCAAAGCTAAAACACCAAAAGCTATGAACTGGTCCATGATCGTTGATAATTTCTTTCAAATGACAGTGTAGGTGCATATTAGGCGTAACTGAATCTTCTCCGTACAAGACTTCAAATGCTTTGCAAAATTTCAACAGCAGAAAATCAGCTCTTTGTAAATCGATCTTTGATAACTTATTTCTGCATAAATATTTGCAGGCCAATACAAATGATTGCCAACACCTTAGATGATCGTCATTGAGTACATCTTTAAGGGCAAACATAGAATATATCAATGTCCAATTCTTCCATTGTTCTGCAGTGTATGATCCATAATTAGACGATATCTTCTTAGGGAGACGCCCAATATTTGTCGGTACATCCATTTTTTCAATTTTTTCTTCCAATAACTTCATTGACTTTTTAGATATTATCCCTCTTTTATCCCAAAGCTTGAAGACGAACTTAGCTGTGCCTAGAAATAGGTTGTGCATTGGATCCACWGTACAAAACCTCACTATGTCAAAGTATTCCAAGTCCAGCAAAGGGCTTCTACAATTAATCCCATACTCTTTACACAATTCTTTCCTTTTCCCAACTTTCTGAGTACGCTGAATTTTGTTTGCACGAATTCTGTGTTGTTTATCATTACGATTTATCCAATTTTCTCTGTCGAAACCAGAGTAGTTTCTCTTTGTTTGGAAACCACCCGGGAAGGTTTTCAAGCRACGTGAGCAGCCGCGGTATGCACCATGACCTTTGTAACCACACAACTTCCGTGCTGCAGGAATATCTGCCGAAATACTAAGCAGCGCTGCTCTGAATGTAAGATGTACAGAGATACTGCTTTTAAGCTTCATACCTTTCCACAATGACTGTAGTTCTCTGATAGCTGGCTTTAAAAATTCGTTTAAACTCGTTGGCTCTTTTCCACCCATTGAGGGGATAATGCCCAAGACAATTACRTTTTTCCATTTAAACCTTTCRCTTCTTGGTAAATTCAAGATAACCAGATAAAAGACTCCGACTGAGTAGTCCTTGCGATGCTTCATAGGCTGGAAAAAGTCGAAGTTCAGCATAAATCCATAATTTCTGGGTACGTTAAGGAAATCTTTGCCTTTGTATTTTTGAAAATCTTTCCAAATTTGCCCACTATAAACATCGCTTAAAATACCCGTTGACTGATCTTGATCCCTCCACTTCTCACAGCTTTCCATGAATCCCTTTCGCTGAACCAATTTTTCAAGTTCATTAATGATACTGTTGTAACAATAATAACTGATGGGATAGAATTGTTCCGTTTTATCTTTGAGCACAACTTTCTTGACCATTTCTGCATCACAAATCTTTTTGCGGCCCCTTGACATGTACGTGTTGTTGCATGTTTTAGGTACAGTTTTATTTCCTACTTTAGTAAGACAAGAATCATATGTATGCAATTTGGTGCACTTCGGACACACAACATATTTTGTAAACACGTCTTTGTCGAAGTTTATATATTGTTTCAATAGATATACTGAGGTTGGCAGGAGAGTAACTAGTTCTGATAAAAATACATTTGATACTTCAATTCCTATTATCTTTAGAAATTGAATGATAAACTGAAGTAGCCATGCCATGCCATTATYGCTCACTTTGCAGCACGTCTGCCACATGAGTAGAAAATAGACAAACCAAAAGACCATTGAATTGACTTGTTGAATTTTCCTTTTTTTGCATTCTGGTTCGGGGAGTGGAGTTGCCTCAATGTCTTTTTCAAGATCCTCTAAGGTCACTTCATCCCAATGCTCCTCTATGTTATTCACTCCTGTTGTGTCACTATCTTTACCATTGCCCTCATTCTCTGCTTCCTCGTCGTCTTCAATTTCAGTCTCATCATCAGCATCAGAGTCAGATACATGTATGTCATTTCCTATAACCTTGAAAGATGATAAATAAGTCAATTAAGTAAAGTGTTCAAACAAATCTTATTGAACAAAAAAAAATTCGAAAAGTCTTGAATCTCAAAAAATCTAATTATATAGCACATATCGATAACTTAATTGAACTGGGAACGGTGAGTCCCACGTGGTTCTCGCTAAATACTAAATAAAAGAAGGGAATGAAATGCAGCTCATGTTTCAAACAAATTATAATTGTTGGTCTAGTGTCACTAGTGTTGCAGTACTGAATATACCTCGTCATTACGTGATCTACATGGATTTTTACTCGGTCCAGTTTCTACTGTGTCTTCAGTATCTTCGTTATTTGAAGAYTCCAGGTTGTCTAAAAAAGGAAATAGTATTTAGAATTAAAAGTCTGCGATGTTACATGATATTACAGACAATTTTAAACAACAAACATGAATTATTTACCATATACTATAGATTGGGATGCATTCCATTCATCTTCTGCATCGCTTTCGGACGTTGTAGAATCATCTTTGCTGTCATCAATATATTTTCTTTTGTTCYGACGATGTCTAGCAACAAACGTTTGATGCCGTCGATAAGTTGATCGCGATACGCTCTCATTACAGTGATTACAAAAGACAGATGAATCCCGAGATGAATTCCTCTCCATTATATTGACAGCAGTGGGCAATATTTGACGCCGGTCAAGAATATCGCAGTCCCAGAAGCTAACAAGCTATACGTAAATGTTGCTWGATTTTTACGGCAGTGATTCTTATCCTGATTGATATCAACGTTTTTTGAAAAGCACATGGCTTGTCCTGAACGAAATCCATATTTAGCGCGTCCATGTGATACCGCAAGAAAACAATAGCCGCTTTGTTGAGGCTGATGACGTATCCTTATTGGCCCTTAATTAGAGGCTCCTTCCTGTCCAGTTTGCTTCCTTTATTTCTTATATATTATTTATAGTATATCAGAAGAGGAGCGTTCAAAATAAAAATGTTTTCCAGCGCTCAAAGCAATACTTAAGATCGAAGTAACTCACCTAAAAACTTTGAAATGCAGTGTACAAATCAGGCAAATGCTCAACTTTATATAAAGTYGACTTTATTAAAYAACACTTAAAGATCCAACGGCCATTCAAAGTCTCGCAATGTAACTGACTTAAAAAGCACTTAARGTGGGCAACCCTTAGCAGTAGTTTAAGAAACATTTAAGTACACTTAAATAGCCATGTGCTGTTTAAGTTTTWTAAGTCATAATTTAATCAAGAACTTAAAGTGGTTAACCTTTACCAAAACTTTAAACAACATTTTAAAGAACACTTAAATAACGATGCGCTGTTTAAGTTCTTTAATTTGTCATTTAAGTGAACAATTAAAGAACAAAAGAAACAAAAACAAACGATTTGAAATTAAATATCACTTAAAGTATCGTAAATGACACTTAAAGATCCAATGGGGCTTTAAAGCATTTAAGCGCACTTTAATTATCAACTTAAAGGTCCAGCCGTTCTTTAA